CAGGTGGGAGCATACATTCCACAGCATTCTGCGTTTTCTTTGGTTTAGATTATTGGCCTGAATAACAAGTTAACCCTAATAATGGCCGAGCTACGCCACTAAAAGTAGCTCTGTATACAGTAAACCACCAAAACTGTTTATAAAGTGAAATGAGAACGTAAGTCTGATTTGTCATGTTGGCAGAGTCAAAGTATTCCAAATAATATACTTAATGACATAGGCAGAGCTCTATTTTTGCTTTTTATTTTTAGAACAATAGTAATGTATTCATTCTTTAAGATTGTTTTCTGCTTGGTATACAAAATGAAGGTAGATATGGTCTCTGTTTTGTGGCATTAGAATCTGAATAAATGTAAAATTGGAAATGTATAAAAGGCCCCAGGTGACTAAATGAGGCAAATGGGTGTTGCGATGTGTTAATGCATATATAAGCTTTCAACTTGCACAAGATAATGTTTTAGCTAAATGCCAGTACCTGAAGCATGTCATGTAGGAGCTCTGTAGGAATCCATACTTTTCTTTCCCCCTGCCGGAGAGTTGCTTTTCAAGCTGTATTGATGTGATATATTTAGGTTTTGGTTACTGTTGTGGTTTAACCCAGCAGGCAGCTGAACACCACACAGCTGCTTGCTCACTCCTCTCCCCCTCTTCCCCCCCCCCCGCCCCAATGGGATGGTGGAGGGAATCGGAAAAAAAGGTAAAACCTGTGGGTTGAGATAAAGACACTTTAATAAAACAGTAGAGCAAAAAAAGCAATATCATAATAATAGAATATACAGAATATACAAAGCAAGTGATGCACAATGCAATCGCTCACCACCTATTGACTGATGCCCAGCCCGTCCCTGAGCAGTGATCACTGTCCCCCCATAGATGGCTATGTTAATAGCATTATAAAGTCATGGTTTTCATGTAAACCTGTAGAAAGGTGATCAATATTAAAATTCCCCAGTTCTTGTACAATTTTTTTTGCTTTTTTGTTCTGGAAAAAAAAATACAAAATTGCTAGTCAAACCAAAAGGTTTTCATACATCTGCTACTGAAACAGCTAGGTTTAGTGCCTTGAGCTTACAGAACTTGCAAGAATCCATCAGAGAGAGCCTGTCTAAAGCTCTGTGCAGCAGCTTGATAGGTCATCTTTTATCTAGACACAGAAGTACTGCTTTCTTATTCCAAGTATGGTTGATGTCAGTACCTTTACTATTTTAGGACTCTGCTTGCAGCTCCTAATGATCTCTGTTGCATGCCAAGCTTTTATGAATTTAATATGCTGACTAATTTATATTCTTGCAGTATTAATGTAGCATCACAGTTATTGAATGTTAAGAATTAATCCTTTACTCAGGCAACCTAAATTCTGCCAAGGTCCTTATATTTGATAATCCTAGACATTAAAGGGGGAAAAAGGGATAGGCAGGGTGGTTTAGGTGAAACAAAGGCAGTTTATATTCTGAAACTGTGTTTGGACTCTATATAATGAGGGTAGACATTACTTAGAGAAGTGAATGTTTGTATTATCTTAGTCTTGAAGCTACAACTCTACCTAGCTCTTTCTGGCATGACAGAAAATACGTCTGCATCATCACCACCTATAGCAGGGGAAAGCCACAGTATGGCTGTTGTCATTCAGCACCGTTAGTTTGAACACCCTAAACTGATGTTGGATTTTTGTTGTTGTTCGTTCTCATTTTCATTTACTCTTTTGTTCCGTCCCCAAATTGACATAATAGGGTGGAGGCATTCTGAAAATCTGTTGATTTTCATGATAATTTGAGTTGTTATAGCTTATCTTAGCCTTAGCTTGGTCAAGTTTTCAGGTGACAGCTTTTTAAATAGGTTTAAATACACTGGGAAAACACCCAAAACCCAAATCCCCACCTTTTAGAGAATTTTTCTTGCATGCCCAACTTTTGCATGCTTTACATTGGTAAATTTAAGCCTATTTGATCGAGGCCAGTAGATACGAAGTATCTGCCTTTTAGATCCAGCGTGTTTTCTTGCACTGGGACTCCTGACACCTTTCTGTTGCTGAAGCCAAGTGGGTGAGAGATCAAGTGCTGCCCCATGCAATGTGTTTGGAAGGCTGGGGGCCAGTGGGTGGCACTCGGGCCAGGGACAGTCTCTGCTGTGGCTCTCTTGGTGGCTGCGGAAGAACAGCTTCTGCTCCATGGCATCGCCTGCCCTGGGTGTAGGAAGCCTGGCCAGCAGACGGCTGGGCAGATTGGGAATTGTTTTGCCTATCTCCTTTCTGAAGCCCTGGGGTGGCTGGCCATGGCAGGTCTCTGCTCCAGTGAGGGCTTAGGTGAGCTCATTTCTATCTCCTTACCTCTGGAAGAACCGTAGGCTCATCCTTGAGGTACTTGGGGCACAAAAATCGATTGGTCTCAGGCATGCCTATTGTATACTTGTTTATACATACCTCTGGGAAATTATCTTCTCTTTTTTTTTTTTTTTTTTTTTTTTTAAAATGACACCCTTTTTTATTCTGTTCATAAGTGCTGCAAAATCAACAGTTCTGCAACACCATAACCCAAACATAAACTTTGGTAAAGACCCTGCAGTTTCCACTCATGTGTTAATTGCAGGATCGGAGGGCCCAGAGATTTCTGATCATTGGGTGACAGCATTTCTGGCAGAATTGTCCAGTGCCCCATGATTTAGTAGGACCTTTGTTCAATATTTTTATCAATGATCTGGATGCAGGAGTCGAATGCACCATTAGCAAGTTTGCTGATGATAACAAACTGGGAGGTGCTGTTAACTCTTTTAAGGGACAAGAGAACTTGCAGAGGGATCTAGATAGAGTAGAGCATTGGGCGATCATCAGTGGCATGAAATTTAATGAGACCAAATGCTGGGTTCTGCACCTAGATGGAGTATAATGAAGATAAAAGTTTCCTGAAGTTGATTTAGCTCAGTATACAAAAGCTACAACATGATACTGTCCTGTTAGCATTAGTGGTGTTGGCAGTAGACTAACCGTGAATGTTCTGCTGCATCTCAGTACAACCACTCATAGCGTAAGCTGTTTTGGAGAAAACTGTAATAACTAAATGTCTTGCATAAAAAATTTTGAGTAGAACAAAGTCAAAGAAGAAAAGAGCATATCAGACAATTCTCATAATTATTCTCAGCAGCTTGCAGAAATAGGTTTGTTCAGCTTAATAAGGCACGGAGTTACACATTCACAGTTTAGAGTTCCTGGATTAAAGAAATACAAGTTTTGTGAAAAACTGGCAGATTGAATGCCAGGCAAAAATTCTAAACTTTAGTACAGTTTTCTGTACTTAATTCATGTGTCTGTGTTATGAAATTGGCCAGCTCAGCTACTTGGCACTTTGATGGCAGTTGGATTAGTCATGGAGAGAAGTTAGTCTTTGGACATTACATTTCAGCAGCTGGTTTATTTTGTACGTACGACATTGCTATGTTTTGCTTGATGAAGAGCACACCAGTGGAGTGCTGTTACATCATGAGGCATAACTTCAATTAGTATCAACTTCTAGAATGACACTTGAATTAAATATTAACATTTTCTATGCTTTGAGTAAGTAAACAAAGGACTCTGTGTTTTAATCTCCCTTCTCTGCAAGGATGGATAAAAGGGGAACCTGTATTTTGAACAGCAAAGCAGGAAAAAAAAAAAAGTTTGACTACTTAATTGTCTGTGTTGATTTAGCAAGGTCAGAAAGATCTTTTTTGGTTGCTGTTTTTGATTTTTTTTTTTATTATTATTTTATTTTTAAACCGAAAAAATTAGGAAAGACAACTTTAGCCTTTTCATTTTGCTGGAGATGCAGTGTACTGTGGAGCATGGGAAGAGGTTAAACTTGGTACAGGTTCTTTCATGAGGAGAGTCAGGAATGTTGCAATTTCAGACAAACATTTTTTTCCTACCAACATGTTCTAAATTATTAGAATAAATGCAGTGCCTCTTCACAATTTGATTTTCACTTTATTGGTGCTGAGGGTTTGAAATCTTATTAAACCTGCTGTGGTCTGTAACTCCAGTCTTTACCTGTGTAAGACAAGTTGTGGGATCAAAGTTTATTGCTGGGGTGGGGAAGCTCTGCCTTTCCAAAATAAATAGCAATATGTGATCGGGTTGGGGGGAAGTTAATTATACATAGTAAAACCAAAGGGGATGAATAGGAGGGCAAATCTTTCCTGTGCTTCTCTGATGGGCACATTTAAAATACTTTAGACCTCTTCTGCTACCCTTTCTTCATTAAAATGCTAATCTGTGGTAATGAAGTGAACCTTAGTTAAAGTGCTTTCTGCCTGCAGTTACACAAGTGCTAAGGACTTCAGTTCTCAGCCACTGCTTTGGACTTTTATTTTTGCAACCTGGGAGTTGTCTTGTTCTTGTACTCTCTTAGCTTCAGGCTCTGTGTTATGCTGTGGGGTTCTGTGGGTGCATTTGTAGACACCTGTTTTCATGTCTTACTGATCGTAAAATGAGAATGTTATCAGCTCCTTACCTGCAAAGATGTATAATCCAAATTCCTTGCTCTAATGTACAGTATTCAAATCCTATAATAATAGGAGGAGTGGACAGAATGCAAACCAGATAATTGCAAGTGGATTTAAGTTGCATATACAAATGTACTCTCTGTGCACTTAGGAGGTAATGACAGAAGAGCTACAAGATGAATTTTCATGGCTAAACAGGCTTTAATTGTGTTTTGAAAACTGACCATTATACAATTAATAAAGTTCTTGTAAAAAGTAACTTACCCCTCATCTAAAATTATTGCTCTGATTAATGTGATTAACTGTAAGGAAGGGTTTTTTTGCTAAGAAAACAGCTTAATCAAAAATAATTGTCTTCTGTCGAAAATATGTTTCACAATGTTAAGTGAAATAATACAGCTGAAATGAAACTTCAGCATTTCATGTGTTTGACATTTCATTTAGTTCACTAAGGCACATTTGGAAGAATTTTGTATTGTTTACAGAAATGCTTAAACGTTTATTAATTTTCTTTTTTTCCTTTTCAGTCATTATTTAACCTACTGGAGTTTCGAAGACTAGTTTTGAATTTCAATCCTCCTGCAAATGCTCAAGACTTGCCCCGAAACCAAAAGGTAAAACTAGAAGCCAGCTTCCCCTAGTGGCTGATAAAGGCATTTCTCTCTTGTAATTGAATTTTGCACTGTTCTTTAGCTCAAATTGGCATGGTTTTTATAGGTGCCAATTAGCATTTCTCTGAGCTTCCTTTTATGGATCTTAGGTAAAATAAGTTAGCTCCAGAGTAGAGTATGGGGCAGGTTGTTGAGAGAGGCAGAGTTTGCTTGGTGCATTGCTGCTTTTAAACCAGGTTCAGTGGAAGGGCTTTGCTGATAGAGCTGTAGCAGCACTGCTGCTAGTGGGTGAGCATTTCTGATGTGGATGGAGCTTGTGTTAAGAAACGTATTTTATTCTAGACCCCTCACACTGTGCAGCTACAAGCATGCTTTTCAGTTACTCACATGGTTTTGATCTGTCAAACAGCATCATTAGTGTGGCAACTTCATTAGGTTTTTGGGGATGCTAATTACTTGTCACTCGTGATCTGAGATTAAGCTTTTGGTTATTAGCTTGTCTCTTCTGGCCTTTTAATGAGGTGATTGTAAGCATAAATTTTCCCAAGGTTTTTTTTTTCCCAAATTTTTGTACTCATATGGGATTGGAGAGGGGGTGGGCCTTGGCTCAGGTTTCTTGCAACCTCAGTCACTGAGC